CGCAATGAAAGAACAAATAAAAGAGCATTCCACCGACTGGAATCGAACCCAGACTTTTTGCACGACAGTCAAGCACGGTAACCACTCGGCCACGCGCGCGGTCGCTCGCTGACGAGCGTGGCAATATTTTCAATTCAGAATGCAGTGCGGTCCTCTTTTAGATATATTGCATGCCTTGGAAGTAATATCACATGAACTCTAAATCTGTTTTATATCCACCGAAATATCCACAAAACATCAGCATTCTCTATACTCCATTCACCCCTAAGCTGAAAGTGCGGTGGGAGCTACGCTCTTGCCGGACCAAGCAGCTGCCTCCCTTTTCAGCACCTGACCCCACTCTGAGCATGATCACGTGGCGAAAAAAAGATGAATGACTGGTCCAACGAGCACGTAGCTTGCACCGGACTGTCAGCTTAGAGGTGAACGGAGTATAGTCCTATATCAGTACCTTTTCTGGAATCACTTCAAGAAGTCGCCTTGGCATGAAATCTTTTTTCTTTTCCGATTACCTGAGGGAAAAACTATATGCAAGCCCTAGTAGATGGTGCTGGAAGCACAATGAACAGTTGTAAAGCTCGTACCCACTGTGCGTTCAACGTTTTGATTCCACAAAAATAGTTGCCCAATGAAGCATCCCGGAAGACTTACGAGGGAGCCACCCATGTTGGGGCCATAATGTTCAAAACAAGTTGAGTAATGCGGATTCTTGGGCGAGTTGGTACTGAAACTTGGAGAACATAATAGCGCTTCACGACAGGGACGAAGGGTAGGAACAAGACAACACAATGCGCTAACTTCAACTGGTTTAATCGTCAGAAAATCAAAGGTATAAATACTGTGCATCATCGCGCCATTCAACCAATCCCAAGCCACGCCACTGATCGCAATAACTGTATCTCTTTGTCTGCCAAATCGACCGACGCCACGCTGACACATCGATCCCCGTAGTTTCTTATCAGGTCCGCCTCTATAATTTCCCTTACCGTCTTATCTCTATGTTTTCTAATGACAGTGCACAAATTAAATTCAGGTTTGCACCCACAGTCATGGCAGTGCATCGACAAATGACCGTCACGCTGTCCGCTCACTTTTAGGTTGTGCTCGCGCAATCTGTCATTTAGACATCTTCCCGTCTGTCCAACGTACTTTTTACCGCACGTCAGCGGGATCTCATAAACGACGCCTTCTGCGCAATCTACAAATGGGCTGCGATGCTTCTTCACGCAGCCAACCGGTGGTTTGCGGTAAGGGTCCGTCATTTTGCACAACTTGGCAAGTTTTTCGGGTGCAGAAAAAACCACCCGAGCGTTTAGGCGGTTTGCTATCCTTTTGAGATTGTGTGCCGTTTTGTGCATGTAAGGCACAACCGCCACTCTTTGTTTCTTTTGGGCCACATCCTGGTCTGGTCTCGCTACTACTCGTAGCTTCTTTAAAACCTTTTCTGCAACCGACACCAGGAGCGTTCCCGGGAAACCGGCAGCCACCAAGCGTTCTGACTGCTCCTTCAGACCTGAAGGCATCGCATGATGACACGACCTTCTGATGGCGTTCACAAAGCACAAATTTACAATTCCTCTCTTGACAAGTTTTGAATGGGATGAATTAAAAGGCAACAGGGGCTTATTTGCTCTTGGTTGGTATTTGCAACACACATGTTGCTCCGAAAGTGTGAGCCTGATATCTAAAAACTGTATGACGTTGTCCACAGGTACCTCGTGCGTAAGCTTGAGAGGATCTAGGACGGTACTAAAAACTGTTAAAAGGCTGTTCACCACCGAGGGAAAGTGAGAAACGTCATGGGGAAGAAAAACTAAATAATCGTCGACGAATCTAAAAACCTTACTACCATTAAAGTCATTCAGGCGTTCCGAGAGAACTCTGTCATGATGGGCTAAAAATATATCGCTTAAAACTGGAGCTAAACACGAGCCAATACACACCCCTCGCTTCTGAATGTACACTCCGCTGTTCCACTCAACAAAGGTCGAGTTTAGATAAAATGTAAGCAATTCCAGAAAGTCATCTACAGTCATTCCTGCTGCGTTCTGAAAGGCCACCACCCCGTGTTTATCGATGCTTTCCTCTACGCAGGTTAGTAGTTTGTCGTGCGGTAGGGAATAGTATAAATCCTTTATGTCAAGTGAGCAGGCTAGAAAGCCTTTGTCCGCGTTTATCTTTAAAAAATCTACGACTTCATCCGAGCTTTTGACTAAAAACGGGTCGTCAATACAAATGGCTCCCAGCTTATCTTGCAGAAAGAGTGCTATCGATTTCTGCCATGTGCCTCTCTCCGAAACTATCACTCTTAACGGACAATCAACTTTGTGCGTCTTAGCGCTGAACATCATCTGTAGGCACTCGCTTTTGGTTTTGTCAATACTCTGTGACAACCTGTCTAATTTTAACCTCTGGCACAATTTTTTCCCCTCCGCCTTTAGCTTAGTTAAAGACACCTTTTGACGCTGCTTGAACACTGACGAAATAGCCTCAAGGGCCTTACTCCCGAATTCGGCTTCTGTTAAGACCACAAACCCTCCTTCCTTGTCGGCGGGAATGATAGACAATCGACGCTCTTTCAATAGCGACACCACACGCTTAACCGGAATATGGGGCTTCGCGGGTTTGTTATTGTTCCTAGACACCACGTCCACTCCCTCCGAGATACAACGTTCAACTTCGCCGTCTGGTGCGCACCTGGCGACTTGGCGGACCAGGCCCAAGAGTTCCGGAGCGTTCATGTTCGGCTCAACCGCAAACTTTGGTCCTAGAGCAAGAACTCGTCGTACATTTTCTGGAAGCTGCACGTCACTCACTGATCTGATGTCACACTTGGCCACTGGACGTCGCTTGGGTAGGGTGGCACGTAGACGATGCAATGATTGCTGCCAGAGGAACTCTGTGGTCCTATCCACGATGCCAAAGAAGTCCCTGATACGTCTGTTGTCCTGCAGGGGCTTGCTGGTGTCTCGAAGAACTGCACACAATAGGCTTCTGTACAGATGTGCTTGTCGCTGCCATTCCGATCGTAGGATCTTCAGTATTCTTGTGCCGTGTCCTGCTGACGGCTCGAAGTTTCCAAAAAGCTGTTTTACTTCTGCCGGCAAGTGTCTGCAGCGGATGCAGAACGATAACGTGCGAGCCTGGCAGGTGGCATTGGTGATGAGCGAAGCGATGACGCAAGGATCCAATGAAGAACATATAAAAGGGCCCGATGTACTAGAAATGAAGTTGAGTAATGCGGATTCTTGGGCGAGTTGGTACTGAAACTTGGAGAACATAATAGCGCTTCACGACAGGGACGAAGGGTAGGAACAAGACAACACAATGCGCTAACTTCAACTGGTTTAATCGTCAGAAAATCAAAGGTATAAATACTGTGCATCATCGCGCCATTCAACCAATCCCAAGCCACGCCACTGATCGCAAGAACTGTATCTCTTTGTCTGCCAAATCGATCGACGCCACGCTGACACATCGATCCCCGTAGTTTCTTATCAGGTCCGCCTCTATAATTTCCCTTACCGTCTTATCTCTATGTTTTCTAATGACAGTGCACAAATTAAATTCAGGTTTGCACCCACAGTCATGGCAGTGCATCGACAAATGACCGTCACGCTGTCCGCTCACTTTTAGGTTGTGCTCGCGCAATCTGTCATTTAGACATCTTCCCGTCTGTCCAACGTACTTTTTACCGCACGTCAGCGGGATCTCATAAACGACGCCTTCTGCGCAATCTACAAATGGGCTGCGATGCTTCTTCACGCAGCCAACCGGTGGTTTGCGGTAAGGGTCCGTCATTTTGCACAACTTGGCAAGTTTTTCGGGTGCAGAAAAAACCACCCGAGCGTTTAGGCGGTTTGCTATCCTTTTGAGATTGTGTGCCTTTTGAGAAGCATCGCAGCCCATTTGTAGATTGCTCAGAAGGCGTCGTTTATGAGATCCCGCTGACGTGCGGTAAAAAGTACGTTGGACAGACGGGAAGATGTCTAAATGACAGATTGCGCGAGCACAACCTAAAAGTGAGCGGACAGCGTGACGGTCATTTGTCGATGCACTGCCATGACTGTGGGTGCAAACCTGAATGTAATTTGTGCACTGTCATTAGAAAACATAGAGATAAGACGGTAAGGGAAATTATAGAGGCGGACCTGATAAGAAACTACGGGGATCGATGTGCCAGCGTGGCGTCGATCGATTTGGCAGACAAAGAGATACAGTTCTTGCGATCAGTGGCGTGGCTTGGGATTGGTTGAATGGCGCGATGATGCACAGTATTTATACCTTTGATTTTCTGACGATTAAACCAGTTGAAGTTAGCGCATTGTGTTGTCTTGTTCCTACCCTTCGTCCCTGTCGTGAAGCGCTATTATGTTCTCCAAGTTCAAAACAAACCTTGGTCTGCTTGATAACAAAGCCTCAATGTCACTTTTACTGTATCTTCTACTCCTCTGAAGAAAGAAGAAAGAAAACAGTCTCTCAAGCTTTCGCTTGGGGGTCACTGATTTCTCGAATGTTGTAACGAGAAAAATTGGCCCAGGATTGTATTGTGATACAAGAAATACGCCGAGAATGTATTCCGATACTGAAATACAGATACTGATTGAAAAATTGTATCGCGATATAGAAATATAAATACTAAAAGTATTTCTAAAATACTATCGCCATACATTTGTATCGCGATACTGCCCAACCCTGACTGTAGGCAACAGTATACAGTGCAATCCACTTATAACGATACCACATATAACAATCTTCTGCTTATAACTATCAGTTTTTACAGTCTTTAGACAAGAAACGCTCAGAGTCTAGTCCACATACAACGATAATCGGTTATAACGACTTAATTTTCGGGTTTTCTTATCACTGGTATAAGTGGATTGCACTGTAACATCCGGGTCACTCGACTGGGTAGAAATCAAGAGACCACAACAGAGGATGCGGTAAACACCGGTCGGAGACGTGTTCGGGCGTCGTAGTGTGAGTGACAAGGCAGCTTCTCCAGTGGGGAATAAGCTGTGTATTGTGGGCAACAGTGAGGGTGTGGGCGGTCCTAGTGTGGGTGCGTCGAAAGCTGCGAGTCTGGCCGACGTGGGGGGATTGCCTCCCCTTGTGTCCCGCCCGGGCGGCTGGGTCGCGACTGGTGCACCAGGTCTTGCACCGTCTGCACAATCAGGTCGATGGCCACTGCATACGCCACACGCAGCCGTCGGCACGTGCGACAACCATGTCGACGGCCCTACCGAGCAATGCCCCATTTCCCCACCACAAAAGAGTAGAAACACTTGCCGCGAGATGAGATGAGAAACGCTCGCGAAAGATTAAAAACCCTCGCGACATTTGCTGGTATAAATTCTGACAGCACGTCGGCATCTGAGGGCTGGTTCCGATACCTGCACTTGAGTATGACTAACTTCATTGCATCAGCTACAACTGCTTATGACAAAAGACCACACTGGTGCCATTTATCGGAACACTATCGAGAGGACTTACATTTCGTCCTTTCGCCGTGGCCTTGAAGTACTCTTGGCAATGTTATCGACCATTATTCCTCATAGACAGTGTGTAGATTTCATCTCACAAATACTGCAAGGTCTCCAGTCTACTTATACGCAGTTCAAGGGGTGCCCGACAGATGGCACCACTGAGCCCGTGTGTTCTCTAGCTACAAGCGGTTACAACGCAGCCAGTCACACTGAAACCCAAATGTGTGAACCAGTCTTAACCGCTTGTGACAAAAGAACACACTGGCGCCATCTATCGGGCAGCCCTCAAACACTCCCGATCAGCATATAACTAGACTGAAGGTTTTCCACAGTATTTACGAGACCGAACCTACACTAACTATGAGAAATGGTCAGTTATAACATTGTCAGGTTATCTCTAACCAACGGTGAAAGAATGACGCTTAAAATATACGGAGATTGCAAGTGTTCCAAGGCTACTTACTCAATAGATGGTGCCAGCGTGCTCTCTCATCGTTAGTGGTCACGAACGATTCCAATGCAGTCACTGTCAGTCACACTCGGATGCAAATGTGTGAACCAGAACCCAGGTTCTGATGCCACATCAGCAGTTTAAGCTATGCTGGGCAAAACGCCTGAGAGAAGCTACTGTGCACTAGCACCTAATTATGCAGATATGGCTAGCACCCCTACGACGAAAACATACTTGACTTTAGTTCCGCTCCATGCATGCCGTAAGGACTTCGATACTCCAGTATTAAGGGAGGACGCGGGCCTTGAAAACCGAAAAATCGCGAAAAAGTCGATTTTTAGAAAACTATATTTTTGGGTTGTATATCTCATAAACTACCTTCCCTGTAATTATCAGTACCGAATACAACGAGAAAGTATTTAAAAACGAATATCTACGACGCGTGGGTAGCTTCCAAGTGACGATCAAACGTCAAAACTCAACTCTTCTTCGCGCGCTCGCCATTCCTGATGCGCTTGGCCGACGTCCGCCATCTTGGTCTTGTTTTGAACGTGAATTCTTTCTCCTTTTTTTGCCGGCTCCCAAAACGGCTACGGCCGCTTGGTTAGGGCGCTATCGCCGTCCTCCTATGTTGCAATCGCGAGAACGTGATTGGACAGGGCGCGCGCTCCCCGAGCGCGCGGAGGAGAACGCGGCTACCATTGGCCGCACGGTGAGCTCTCCTCTCCCCGCACGCTGTTTGCCTTTCCCTTCCTCCCGCTCCTGCCGCTCGCGGGCTTGCGTTGCTTGCGTCGTCTGCTCCTTCGGCAGTGATCTGCTTGCTTGCCCTCGTGCTTTGTCAGCTTCGCTTTTCACTCCTCCATTGTTACGTCGGTTTTGTTTTCTCGATCGCGCCTCTTCTTCAATCAGGCTAGCGATGTGGAGGAGTAAGTACAAAAGCAAGACGAGGTTTGCGTACGGAGCGTGTAAACGCTCGATGAAGGAAGTGAGAGCAGCGAAATCGAGCGCCGATGCGGCTCCCGCCACAGGCAGCGACATAGTCGTGTCGACGTGTTCACCGACTGCAGCTGAAGAATCTATCAGCTCCTGTGTGCCTGGAACTTCGACGGGAAACACGACGGTGCACCTGCAGACGGAGTACGTTTCTCGGGCGGAAGCTGAAGCGGCAGCGCAACATCGCGATGCCGTTCGTGCCGAACTTGCTTCCGTGTCTGCCACGCAACGTAAGTTTGATATTCTGAAGCAAGATCCTCCTACTCCGACGAATTCGTCATCGAAATTCACCATCGTGCGGCTAGATGCTATCAATGAACTTCTTGGCTACACGGTCTGCCAAGGCTGCTCAGCCACGGGAATGAAGATTCAAGAATCGACAGCTCTGGGTCTTGCTGTGAAGCTTGAACTTGTGTGCCCCGTCTGTGAAGTTGTTTCCCACGCCTGGTCTTCACCACGCAAGGCCGACTCTAACGCGTTTGACGTGAACCTGAGAGCAATATCTGCAATCAGGAGCATCGGCAAGGGCCAGACTGCGTTGAATGATTTCTGGTCAACGATGAATGTGTCCCACCGAGGACTCCATCACAAGACTTATCAGGAACACCTCAAAAACGTTGTCAGCAAGTCGGCTGCAGTTTCTGCAGAGAAGATATTCACAGAGTCCGCTGCTGCTGTGAAAAGTATATGCAAGGACATGGACCCAAGTTTCACCAGGGATATTGCCGTCGTCTATGATGGCACCTGGCACAAGAGGGGCTTCAGTTCCCATGTCGGCGTTGGGAGCGTCATAGAATTCGACACCGGCCTGATTCTAGATGCTGAAGTGCTCTGCAATCTGTGTCTCGGCTGCCAGACTGGACCCAAGCCTGGAGACGAGAAGTACGCCGAGTGGTTACAAAACCACAACTGCCAAAAGAACACTGATGCGAACTCTGGAAGGATGGAAGTTGATGCTGCACTTGCACTTTTCGGGCGTTCTTTGGAAAAACATGATTTGCGGTACACTACGCTGATTTCAGATGGGGACAGCAGGACTTTTGGTGCCCTAACCGAAGAGAGAACCTATGGGTTTGTCCCCATAAAGAAAGAAGAATGCCTCAACCATGTGCAGAAACGAATGGGGACTGCTTTGCGAAATCTCTCGCAGAAGAGTGACAAGCCACTAGGAGGAAAGGGCCGCCTCACGAAAGGACTAATTGAAAAGCTCACTGGCTACTACGGATGGGCCATAAGGAATCACAGCAACGACGTGGGCGCCATGAAGCGGGCCGTGTTGGCGACCTTTTACCATGTCACCTCAACCGATGAAAATCCGAAGCACGACCTGTGTCCAAGTGGAGCAGACTCTTGGTGCAGGCACAGGGCAGCTGAGGCAAAAGGAGAGCCACTGGCAAAACACAAGTACTGTCTCCCCAACTATGTTGCCGAGGCCATGCTGCCTGTGTACGAGCGCTTGTCACAAACGGCGCTCCTCACGCGCTGCTTGGGAGCCAAGACTCAAAATGCTGCGGAAAGCTTTCATTCGGTACTGTGGTCTTTGATGCCGAAGGAGCAGCATGCTTCACTGGTGTCTGTAGAGGCTGCCCTGCACGAGGCAGTCATCAGGTTCAATGCTGGCTGTGCTAGGGCACATCAGGAGATAAACAGTGCCATGAACCTCCAGCCTGCACACCTGGCTCTCCGGCGGGCCTCGGAAAAGGACTCTCTGCGCTTGAGCAAGGCCACGAAGCGCCACCACGCAAAGCAAGATGCACGCCAGAAGAGGAGAGCTGAACACAGCACCACAGACTATGCTGCGGGTTCTTTTTGACACTGTTGTGCTGCATCTAACTTTGGGACTTCGTTTCTCGAGAAGGTGTTTATTGAATCTTACATTACTTTTGCCAAGCATATCTCGCAAAGCAGTTGTTCGATTTGTGCGCTGTTTCTTTTATTTTGATGACGGATAGTAGTAGAAGGGTGTGACAAGCCCACTTTTTGCAATAAGATGCTAATTTTTTTTTTAATCCATAAATTGTTTTTATATCTGTTAATGACTTTGGTGACATGAAAATTTGAATTTGTATTAAAAGCTGTTCTTGAATGAAATTCACCGAAAGGGCTCTGTCACTCCCTTGGGTGTATATTCAGACACCTGTCTAGCGAATTTAATGTTCATACTATAGTCCATTTATATCTCGGGCTTGGCAGAACAAAGGAACATAAAAACTCATGTAACTCAAAAGTGAACAATGATAATTAATTCAAATCTTACAGTTATTATCAATGCCCTTATACCAACAGACTCTGTAAATTTCATGCCAATAGCTCCAGAAACAAAAAATATATTTTTGTTCCCCACCTCCTCCCTTAACTGCGCACCACCATCACCCATCAAATAAAGATGATTTTTTGCATATTCCCATACAGTCGTCTTGCGTTAAAAGGAACCAGAATTTTGAATGCCTTTGTGGTTCCAGTTATGTGTTTAAGAAAATCATTCCTACCACTACCAAGAATTGAACTGAAACAATTTTCCTGACACTCATGGCCACTCTTCAACCTCAGGTTAATAAAAACCCTCTTTTTTGTATGTTACTCTGCCATTCATGCTATAAGAAATTCCCATTCTTAATGCAGTCGGTGTGCTTTTAAAGGTAATGCATTTTATATATTACTTTTTTGTTATGTTGCTGTCATCGCCCTGTATTGCTGAAGCTTTTCCCCTCCTTATGCACTGATGTATTAACCTTTTGATGCCGAAATTATTTATTAATGACATAAAAAAACTCTTTTTGCTGGAAAGTGCTGTTAAAGGTGTCCAGCTATAGATGGGCATCTCACAGATTTAATTTTATGTCACATACGTCGTTTACTTGCCAACCCAGTGTAGGCACTGAACTTTCTGAGGCCACAGTCTATGAATATGCCTAGTTGGATTAAATTTCATTTAGCTTAGAAATGGACAAGTGAAAGCTTGGGAACAAGGTTCACAAGTTCAGTTAGGTTTTCATTTAAACATGGTGCAGTTATTAAAAATATTAGACCAAAACCACCATTTGCTTTGAGCTCAAAATTCACTATTCACGCACGACTATGTTAGCCAACTTATTGTGACATCTCCCTAAATTTAGTTCCCCCAGCAACCGTATGATTCACTGGTACTGATCATTAGTGTAGCTTTTACGGCTTTATTACAACAATTCTGTAGTTTCAAAAAAACACCCTGTATATTAACGAGGCAGAATAGGGAAACGTCGGTCCCTGAAAATAGTGTCTATACATTGTGGGGTGTCCATATTAATGGGATCCATATTAACAACACATGAATGCAATTGAAATCCTACAGCCTTAATGCGCACACAGATGAACCAGGCTATGTACAGTCAGTGACCGACACAGTAGCAAACTCACCTTCGTTATCAGCACCTCGTGGGATAATCACATCAGCATACTTCTTTGTCTGAAACAAGGGTATCGAAGAACAATAGCAAATGTGTCAAAGAACCGCAAGAGAAAAAAACAGAAAGGTTAGTATGCTTTCAGAGAACGAGAGAAATCAGTTGTGCCAAAGGGACCTCTCCCACTTTTCTCTCTCTTGTGCAAGCGTGCATACAAATTCTTTCTTGGGTGCGAATATGGCCCATCCGAGGAGCCTACTTTGAGCCTAGGGAGTGCCTTTGCAGCAGATAATCAGCAGCAAACTTTCTTATCTACAGTCGACTGGCTCGAATGCCTCAATTGAGGAGTTCCACCTTCAGTACTTGATCATTACAATGCTAAAACTGCCATCTGCTTTGCACAACCAGAAAAGCAGAAAAAAAAATGAAAGACATTCACAACACCCTGTAACGCCGAATTAGACCGCAGCTCCTGAGGAAGAGGAGGGAAGGGTACTGAGGGGAGGGTATACCCCTCCTCCCTCCTCATCCTCACTGCTAGCCTGGGGTCTTTCATTCACCACAGTGCATTATGGGACGTCTCCCATAATGCACTGCACAGTTACGCCGACTGCGACGTGTCACGCCAACACATTACGCCGACACGTTACGGTTAAGGCGACGCCGACGCATCACGCCGACGCGTTACGGTTACGCTGACGGCGACGCCGACGTGTTACAGTTACGCTGATGCGTTACAGTTACACCAACGCGTTACGCCGACGGCAACGTTAATGTCGACGCCACTCAAGCCGGAAACAAACGCCTAAAAACTGCGCTCTAAAATTACGTTCAAGTGTAGTTGCGTGACCTCCGACAACAATCTCCTCCTCTATATTTCTCCCTCCTCCCTAGTGGACATGTTGCACCTCTACTCTGTGCTCTTGTTTCGGTACCGAGCAGTTGTGTGCTTTATGGTTTTATTAAATATATACATGACTCTGTAGCAAAATACTGATTGGGTAGCCTTGTGACACCATATTGAATCACCTGGCAAACAAATAAATATAAATTTTTGGGAGGTGTCAGTGCCTCTTTAAAGGGCAACTCCGGTCAATATTTTTCTTAATTTGGGATCACGACTTTTTCAGCTAAAGCAGAGCCCCTGAATTATACAAGATTTTTTTTTTTTTTCAATACAGTAGACTTTTAATAATTCAAACTCCAAGAAGTCACAGATTTTAGTTTGAATTACCAGAAGTTTGAATTATAAAAAATTCATCTAAATATGATACTAGACAACATTATGATTTGTTACATGGATAGCTACACATACAACGCAGATTTTTGCCAGTTTCCTATACATAGGATAATTATAAGCAAGTACAGGCATAACACATTGGGAAAAGAACTGTGACGTTAAGTTTATTCATCCGGCAAAAAAGTTGTTGATTGTGGACTGTTTAGTCAGTACATGAGGTCTCAAAACAATTTTCAATACCAGCCAACGCAAGTAGCTCTTTACGGGACTCTTCCTTTGCAGACAGAAACTTCCGGAGCTGAGCGATGTGCTCAAAGGCCTCTGTGGCTGTGACAGTTGGTAGTGGGTCATCCTTTTCTTCATCGTCATCATCACTCTCACTGCTGCACTCTGCTGGCATTACTTCCTTATGTCCTCTAATGAGTCATCATGACAAACGCACACATCGTCGTCAAGACTAGCATACTCCGCCAGCTCGGCGTTCACATTATGTTCTTCAAGGCCAGAAAGCGTGATGCCAATGAGCTGTTCCTCATCCTTGATGCCGTCTTGGTCATCATTGCTAGTCTTGAAGCACATAATGTGAACGCCGTTTTCCGCTAATGTGTGCCCGCTTGAGCCCCGTTGAGTGCGCTTCTTTCCGAGCACCGGTGCACTGCGGAGAAGCAACACTTGCGAAAACAAGCTCTGCCGGTATTGCTTCTCTGCGGTGGACCGGTGCTCGGAAAGAAGCGCAATTAACGGGGCCGCAAGAACAAAAAAGTATGAATTAAGCGAAAACGCCGTTCGAATTAAGCGGCTTATAAATACATTAAAAACATAGCGGGAGAACGAAAATTTTCAGATCTGTTTGAATTAACCAGAAGTATGAAATATCCGAGTTTGAATTATTGCGAGCCTACTGTATTGTGTGTAGTTTTATAAATATCAAGGCACAAAACTTGGTTTTGGGCCTCTACGGCAAAACTGATACTATCTGCTAGAGGGATGGCAACACTGATCATCAGCCATACGGCCGCGACGTGACATCACCGTGGTGCTATGGTAAGCAGTACAACCAAACAATTGCAGCTGCACCGTGACGGGACATCATGGGTGTGCTGCGCAAGCGTTCCTTGGCTAAAAGCTAACCCGCTTGCCGCCCGTTAAAGAGCAGCTGGTCGCATCTTTAAAATTGTTTTTTGTGGAGTATGCGGCTTCGCTTTGACGCAATATTTCGGCTGTGATCATATTTAGTGCCACTAAAACAATACCAGTCATTTATTTTGATTTCATTTTCGACCACAGTTGCTTTTAAAACAAGTGCTCTTCAAATCGGAGAAAGGTGACTCTAAATAAAAGTAAACCTTGCATCGGTTACTAAAGCTAGCCGCGCTCGCTGCAGGCACAGGCTCATTGATGCACAAAATCACGGCGGTTCATTCCAACCTCACACTTTACAGTTTCGGGTGCTTTATTGGGTCAGCTCGCATCAAGTACAAAATTGCAAAAGAAACAATGTACTGTATTAACTCGCATAATGAATGCACTCGCATAATGAACGGACCCCCCACAACGGGCATCAATATTTGGGCTTTTTTTTTTTTTTTCTCACGTAATGAACGCACTTTTAATTTTCGGCTCCACGAGTCTTGAACTGTGTCCAACTTAGCTGGCTAGCCACCAAGCCCGCCAATTTCCTTTTGCCACAAAGCGGCCAGGCCAGGTCAAGTCAAGCCAAGCCAAGCCGCTCTACTAATGACTGCAACTGCGTGGTTGTGGAAGTGATCAACTGTGAAACCGAGCGGCACGCACACCTAGCAAAGCTGGAGTCGAGGAATTGCCCTGCTCCGGACATGCTTCGTCCATCCAATGCAATGATGTCAACAAACACGCCGTCGTCCGAGATCTGCTTTTGGACAGTGATATTGTGAAGGTGGTTAAACCCAAGAATGGTCGTGCCGCTTTCCATGCTGAGCGGGCTTCGTAGGGCGCTTTCTCTTTGGCAAAAGGTATGCCAAAAGCGCCCTAAAAATGGTTTTCAATTTAAAAAACATGGCTAAGGTGGCACTCCCACAACCAGCCATAGGTGCACCTCCGTCAGTGGAGATGTGCCACAGTACCCTGCCATGTCACACGGGCACCTAAAAGGACATTTGAGCCAAGTGTGTAAATGCAAATATGTGTAAATTTTTCGGAAAAAAAGTGTGTTCATAATGCGAGTAAATACGGTAGTACTACTTTAAAACTACAACACCCGACTTCACTTTCACAGGAACGTGACGACAGCCCAGTGGTTCCAAACAAGAAGCGTGTTCAACTCTTCCATGGTTTGCTTAATGCAGAAATCCTTCTATTCAGTTCACCAGCGGGCTCCAAAGAGTACCTTCTTTTTCAAGATATGTCGTTGCACCTCAACCGAGAAGCGAGAATACAAACCACGGTATACCAGAGACCCTGAGATCATACAGTAAGATTAATGAGCATGTGTCCACACAAAAGTTAGAGATAATCACAAAAAAATAGGGATGGGCCCTTGTGTTAGGTCTGACAACAGAAATGCCAAAGGGACACCGATAGGGTAGGCTGGAGTCACTAAATAAGCTACGCTTTCAGAGTACCGCATTCCTTTTGTTTGGCATTCTGCGGACAATACAGTCGCTCTATTCAACAATGTGCTGGTTCGCTGCGGCATCATTGGACAGTGCCAGTCATGTAAGTCACTGTCATCATCATTGCGTTTTTTCAACACCACCATCTGGGGTCCAGCAATCCGCTGCCTGCTGTTGTTTTACTGTTTACTGCGCGTGCACGCTGAAGTCCGTCGCTCAGCATGCATTTTTTCCTTCTTACGTCGAGATACAAACAACACGACCTTGATTCGCAGCCACAGCTGCGGCTACAGCAGCTAGCGCAGGCAATGACTACAGCTCGCCTTGGCTCAGCTAGTCACTCCTCCATTTGCGCATGGACCAAAGATGGTGGCGCCTGACGCGCTTCAGACGCGTAGTTTGGGAGTTTCGGTACTCTGAAAGCGTAGCTTTATTTAGTGACTCTAGGGTAGGCCTTGCCATGCGTAATGAACAAACAGTATACAAGTAGTACAAGGGTCTGGCAGAAGCCGTAATTCTTAAGGGGGGACACTACCCAAAAAAGTAAATTTTTGAACCACTTGTCTGATTTAAGTTATATTTACAGGCCTTGTTTTTGTCGATGTTGAGAACATTTCTGCCAAATTTTGCTAACCTGGGTGAAGTACAAAAAGACCTGCAGACTTTCAAAGATGAAAGTGGGCGTGCCTGCATAGGAAAACTATCGTTTTAAAGTTAGTTATAAATTTGGCGTTTTCATGTGTTATATTGCATTATGACAATTCAGAGCAGATAACTATGGAGCTATATTTCTATGTTATACCATCTTTCATGACAACAGAGTCACATAAACACAAATACAGTGTTTTAGATTTCCATCCTTTGTCCAAAATTTTTGTTTTTGAGCATGAAAAATGACAAAAATAAAAAATACAAGCTCATAGTTATCTTCCCCTTAAAATTTTACCCCAGAAAAACTCATAAAAATGAATCCAAGTTATGTAATATCAAAGCGATAGTTTTCCTAAAGTGAAATTTATGCCAAAAAGTGGAATGGAGAAATATGCGTTCAAAGTGCTCCAACCTCTACCTTTTCTTTAGCGTTGGTGGACCGAAAATAATTTATAAAAAAATAACTATGCAGTACAATCTAATGAAACTTTCTGGGAATAGCCTCTAGATATTGGTGGATGTAAATATGACATTTTTGAAAATGAATGTTTTTTTGCGGAAATTGTTTTTTCTGGGTAGT